CCGGAGGAGCTATCACATGGGACCCGGGCCGCTGGGCAAAGGTAGGAGTTGTCGACTAGGCCAGGAGCAGGGGCCGCGGGGCCCTCCCGGAGGGCGGCTCTGGGTCCCGGGGACCAGCCCACCCTGCCTTATGCGGGGATGGCTCCCAGGTACCCCGAAGGCAGCGCTGGGTGTGGGCATCTCCGAAGCCTGGCGATGGGGATGGGGCTGACCTGCCAACGGGAGTGCCCACATCCCGCAGGCAGAGAGGGCTCCCCATCCATCTCCTCCCCTGCCACAGAGGCGGGTCCCTCGGCATCCAGGCCGATGGCAGCTCTGCATCCTGGGTGTGGGCAGCTCTGCCCAGGAGAGGGGCTGCAGGAAGCCCCATGCCCAGGCGGGCGTGCTCCGTCTGAAGGCAGGCCAGGCTGGTGCCGGGCTGGTGCCGGGGAGGGCATCTCCGATATGGGAGGCAGGTGCATGGGAAACCCACGGTGCTCTGGGGCTGGGGCTGGGCACTGCCGGGCATCTTGCACCCAGAAATGAGGGTGTTTGTGTCTTGACCATGTCCTTGCTCGAGGCCCAGACCTCGGCCCCTGGCAAAGCCTTCAGGTCCCGAGGTGAGGGCGGGGGCGGGCAGGGAGCGGTGGATGAGCGCGTCTGGGAGGCAGAGTGATGGGAGCGAGGAGGGGAGGGAGGCCGGCCTGCCTCCCACACCGGTGCCCGCAGCCCTCTGCTCCCAGCAGCCAGGCAGGAGGGGGCTCCTGGGGCTTCGAAGTCAGTGTGGAGACCCCAGCGAGGCGGAGGGCGCTGTGGCCGAGAGAGATGCCCCCGGCTTTCTGGTCTAGGGCTCCATTATGCCTGCACAGCACCCACCCTCAGCCCCCGTCTCCACGTGGCAACCCTGTCTGCTTCCCTCCGTCCGGGGCCCAGGTGGGCCCTGCTGGCAGGCCCAACGCCCCTCGGCCCCGTGGGCCTCTGCCCTCCGGCTCCCCGGGCCTCAGGGCTCCTGGGCCCTCTCCCGGGCGGAAGGGCTGGGGAGTCACGGCCCCGGGAGGCAGGGCGAGGATGCCCCCTACCTTCCCTCTGCATTCTTCCTGCGAGACTGTCTCCTGAGAGGAGCTGCTGTCTCCCCCTTCTCTGCAGCCTCCCAGTCTCTGAGGCCATTTTAGCTGTGAGCCGGGCTTTCGGGGGCCCCTGGGGACGGGCAGTGGTCCGAAGTCGGGGCTGCCTTGTGTCCAGGGGCCAGGGCAGCCTGCCCAGCAGGGGCTCCCGACAACCACACGGTGGGCTGAGCCTTCCGGGAGGAGGTGCTGGCGGCAGGGATTCAAATGATGGACTTGAGTTTGATTCACAAGCCTGTCCGGAGCGCCCGGGGCCCGCACGGTGTGCTGGACGTGGGAGGGGGCGAGGCTGGTGGAGTTGGCCGTCACTGTGCAGGGGGATTGGGCCCCATCTGGTCCTCTTCCCTGCAGTCAGAGAAAAGGTGGAGGGGGTGTTTTTTTTTTTTAATTTTAATCCTCACCCGAGGGTATGTTCTTATTGATGTTAGAGAGGAAGGGAGATGGAGAAACATGGATGTGAGAGAGAAACATTGGCCAGTTGCCTCCCGTACATGCCCCGAACCGGAGGCCTGGGTACATGCCCTGACCTGGAATCGAACCTGCGGCCCTCCACTGTACGGGACAATGCTCCAACCCGCTGAGCCACCGGCCGGGGCCCAGGTGACGGAGTTTTAACACTGAGCAGCCACCAGGCCCTCGGTGGCCCAGGAGCTCACAGAGTCATCAAAAGTTATCACAGCCGAAACCGGTTTGGCACAGTGGTAGAGCGTCGGTCTGTCGACTGAAAGGTCCCAGGTTCAATTCCGGTCAAGGGCATGTGCATTGGTTGCGGGCACATCCCCAATAGGGGTTGTGCAGGGGGCAGCTGGTCGATGTTTCTCTCTCATCGACATTTCTAGCTCTCTATCTCTCTCACTTCCTCTCTGTGAAAAATCAATTTAAAAAAAAATATATATATATTAAAATAAAATAAAAAGTTATCACACAGAGAGACCTTGGAGATCGGCTAGTGCAGTGGTGGGCAAACTCCTTAGTCTGCAGAGCCAATAGTCAACAGGACAACGATTGACATTTCTTTCGAGAGCCACATTTTTTAAACTTAGACTTCTTCTAACGCCACTTCTTCAACATAGACTCGCCCAGGCCGTGGTATTTTGTGGAAGAGCCACACTCAAGGGGCCAAAGAGCCACATGTGGCTCTCGAGCGCAGTTTGCCGACAACAGGGCTGGTCCAGTCCTCCCTTTTCACAGACGAGGAACCTGGGCCCCGGGCCACGTGTGACGTGTCCACAGAAAGCCCCTCCGCCTTGCATGTCCACCGTCCGCCTCTCAGGCGCACACCTCAGCCCACTAGACGGAGGGGTCTGGGCTGTAGGAATGGCATCTGGGATGAAAACAAGGAAAATTACGCCGGGCAGCTCTTTCAATTGTGTGCAAACTCAGCACGGCTGAGGAGCACGGGGCACAGGGCTGAGGAGCACGGGGCACAGGGCTGAGGAGCACGGGGCACGGGGCTGAGGAGCACGGGGCACACGGCTGAGCAGCACGGGGCACAGGGCTGAGGAGCACGGGGCACGGGGCTGAGGAGCACGGGGCACAGGGCTGGGGAGCACGGGGCACAGGGCTGGGGAGCACGGGGCACAGGGCTGAGGAGCACGGGGCACAGGGCTGAGGAGCACGGGGCACACGGCTGAGCAGCACGGGGCACAGGGCTGAGGAGCACGGGGCACACGGCTGAGGAGCACGGGGCACGGGGCTGAGGAGCACGGGGCACAGGGCTGGGGAGCACGGGGCACAGGGCTGGGGAGCACGGGGCACAGGGCTGAGGAGCACGGGGCACAGGGCTGAGGAGCACGGGGCACAGGGCTGAGGAGCACGGGGCACAGGGCTGGGGAGCACGGGGCACGGGGCTGAGGAGCACGGGGCACGGGGCTGGGGAGCACGGGGCACATGGCTGAGCAGCACGGGGCACAGGGCTGAGGAGCACGGGGCACGGGGCTGAGGAGCACGGGGCACAGGGCTGAGGAGCACGGGGCACACGGCTGAGGAGCACGGGGCACACGGCTGAGGAGCACGGGGCACGGGGCTGAGGAGCACGGGGCACAGGGCTGAGGAGCATGGGGCACAGGGCTGAGGAGCACGGGGCACACGGCTGAGGAGCACGGGGCACACGGCTGAGGAGCACGGGGCACACGGCTGAGCAGCACGGGGCACAGGGCTGGGGAGCACGGGGCACACGGCTGAGGAGCACGGGGCACGGGGCTGAGGAGCACGGGGCACGGGGCTGAGCAGCACGGGGCACAGGGCTGAGGAGCACGGGGCACAGGGCTGAGCTGCCATTTCATCAGGGGGCAGCAGAGACGCTGAGACCCCAGACTTCCCCTCCCGGTTTCTTCTCTGCTTCACGCTCACCGACCTTCTCTATCTAAGTCATCTACCCACTCTCCCACCTACCCCCTTACCCAGATGCCTGCTCTCCCCCTCCCCCCCAGTTCCGTGATGTGGTAACAGTCCCGGAACAAGAGGGCTTTGGGCCTGGGGTCCTCGGGGGTCACCTCAGTGACCAGGGAGATGGGGCCCGGGGGTTGGGAGGTTAGAGACAGCTCCCCTCCCACCTGCAGGGGCACAGTGGCCGAGTGGGTGGGAGGACAGCTTCCTAGTGCACATGTGTCAAACACAAGGCCCGCGGGCCAAATCCGTCCCGCCAGGCCTTGCAATGTGGCCCGCACCGCGCTGTCATCACTGCACTCCGCTGCGTTTCCATCACAATGACAGTTTATGACTCTTCAGTAAACCATTCGGCCCGCGATTTAGGCTGGATTTTAGATTTTGGCCCCTTCTCTGATTGAGTTCGACACTCCTACCTAGTGCCTTCTGCCCTTCCAGCTTTGGGGTAGTGGAAGCTCAAAGAGCTGAACTCCAAGCTTCCATTTATTTATTTTTTTAATGTATGGATTTTAGACAGAGAAGAAGAAAGGGAAGGGTGAGAGAGAGAGAGAGAGGAGAGAGAGAGAGAGAGAGAGAGAGAGAGAGGTTGCTGCTCCGCGATCTCTGCCTTCTCTGGTTGACTCTTGCATGTGCCCTGACGGGAGATCAAACCTGCAGCCTTGGTGTAGTGGGACGATGCTCCAACCGGCTGAGCTCCCGGCCAGGGCCTGCCTGTTTCCTCTCACCCCCAACCCCGCCCCCCAAAGCACCAGCCCTTTGTCCTGGGGACGGTGTTGGAGCCGCCTGTCCCCTTTCAGGGCGCTCCGTCCAGCGTAGCCCCAGCGCGGGGAGGGACGTGTTCAGAGACGGCTCACGCTCGGCAGCTCCTCCCTGGACGCCGAGACGCCCCGGCCGCTGCGGAGGTGCCACTGGACCCGGCGTGGCAGCCGCCCTCGCCACGCACTCGCCGTGTGACCTTCGGTAAGTGCCCTCTCCAGGCCTCAATGTCACCGGCTGCAAAGCGGACGTCGGTGCACCCTCCCGGGCAGGGCTGCCTGCGGGTCACTGCGCAGAGAGCTCAGCCCCAGGCCCGGCCGCTGGGCCGCCTCCGGGAAGGCCCCTGCCCCTCACCGGTCTTCTCATTGCCGGACCTCAGGGTGCTCCGAGCACGGCTGCGAGGTCGGCGTGGCTCCCTCCGCTTCCAGATGCCTTGATGAGGAAGCTGGCGTTGGGCAGAGTCGCTGCGTTGGCAATTCCCAGCCCTCGTGTTCTTCCTGCCCCCGCCTGCGCCTGCGGCCGTGAGGAGACCAGACACCGGGAGCCGTACATGGACAGCCTCGAACCCCGGGCGCTGTCCCGGAGCTCGGCGGGACCCTGGGCGAGGGGAGCGGATTCAGACGCTCTGGACGGGGTGTCCTGGACAGGGGAGAAGGGCCTGGACCACAGAGGAGAGGACGTGGTGAAGAAGGAGCCGGAGGCCAGTCGGCGGGCGGAGTGTTGAGAGGGCCAGGCTCCCCCATCCCTCTCGTCTGTCTCCTCCAAGGTCATGGTCACCGCGGCAGACCCTGAGCTACCTCTGGGCAGAGACATGAGCTCCTGAGCCTGTTCCTGGCCGGGGGGCTCCGTCCAGCCGCCCTGCCTCCCCCCGAGGCTGGCCTCCGGAGCGGGTCCGAGAGACGCCTGCAGGAGGTGCCCGCTCCCACCACCCCCGCACCCGGCGCCATCTCAGGGTCACCGGACTAGGATGGGGGATGGGCCTGTGACAGGAGGCGGCCCGGGCGTCCTCTTCCGGCCCCATGGAGTCCTCGCCCGTCCCCCAGCCATCAGGGAACTCTTCCGCCCCGGGGAGGGCCCCCCAAACCCCGGGCCCCTCGACGGCCAGCGGGGCCCCCGAGGCGGGGCTGCGGGACGTGGCCTCGGAGTCCGTGGCCCTCTTCTTCATGCTCCTGCTGGACCTGACCGCCGTGGCCGGCAACGCCGCCGTGATGGCCGTCATCGCCAAGACGCCCGCCCTCCGCAAGTTCGTCTTCGTCTTCCACCTCTGCCTGGTGGACCTGCTGGCCGCCCTGACCCTCATGCCCCTGGCCATGCTCTCCAGCTCCACCCTCTTTGACCACGCCCTGTTCGGGGAGGTGGCCTGCCGCCTCTACGTGTTTCTGAGCGTGTGCTTCGTCAGCCTGGCCATCCTGTCCGTGTCGGCCATCAACGTGGAGCGCTACTACTATGTGGTCCACCCCATGCGCTACGAGGTGCGCATGACGCTGGGGCTGGTGGCCTCCGTGCTGGTGGGCGTGTGGGTGAAGGCCTTGGCCATGGCCGCCGTGCCCGTGCTGGGCAGGGCCTCGCGGGAGGAGGGGGTGCCCGGCCTGCCCCCGGGCTGCTCCCTGCAGTGGAGCCGCAGCGCCTACTGCCAGCTGTTCGTGGTGGTGTTCGCCGTCCTGTACTTCCTGCTGCCGCTGCTGCTCATCCTGGTGGTGTACTGCAGCATGTTCCGCGTGGCCCGCGTGGCCGCCCTGCAGCGCGGGCCGCTGCCCACCTGGATGGAGACGCCGCGCCAGCGCTCCGAGTCGCTCAGCAGCCGCTCCACCATGGTCACCAGCTCGGGGGCGCACCAGACCACCCCGCACCGGACGTTTGGGGGCGGCAAGGCGGCCGTGGTCCTGCTGGCCGTCGGGGGCCAGTTCCTGCTGTGCTGGCTGCCCTACTTCTCCTTCCACCTCTACGCGGCCCTGAGCGCCCAGCCCGCGTCCGCGCGGCAGGTGGAGAACGTGGTCACGTGGATCGGCTACTTCTGCTTCACGTCCAACCCCTTCTTCTACGGCTGCCTCAACCGGCAGATCCGCGGCGAGCTCAGCAAGCAGTTCGTCTGCTTCTTCAAGCAGGCCCCCGAGGAGGAGCTGCGGCTGCCCAGCCGGGAGGGCTCCATCGAGGAGAACTTCCTGCAGTTCCTGCAGGGCACCGGCTGCGCCACCGAGTCCTGGGGGGCCCGGCCCCTCCCCAGCCCCAAGCAGGAGGCCGCGGCGGCGGCCGTGGACTTTCGGATCCCGGGCCAGATAGCCGAGGAGACCTCCGAGTTCCTGGAGCAGCAGCTCACCAGCGACATCATCATGTCCGACAGCTACCTCCGTCCGGCCCCCTCGCCTCGGCCCGCATCCTGACGGGCAGCAGGCTGGACATCGCGGAGGGAGGGGGGCCCGGGCCGGCCAGGACCGCGAGGAGCAGCGCCCGGTGGCTCCCCTCTCCCCCGCCAGCGGGGCCCGCGGGGCCTCTGCAGGCGGCCTCTGCTTAGCGTTTTCGGGGTTGGGAACGGAGCCAGCAGGATGGACGCGTGGCAAACGCCTCGGACACGGCTGTGATCCTTGACTACTGGGGGAGGGAACCCGGTGAGATGGTGACGGGAGTCAAGGGTCACGAAGGTGAGAAGATGGATGTCTTTCCACTAGTGAACTTTCGCTCGTAAGGGTAGGAGCTGGAGGAGGCAGGGCGGCAGGCCGGGTGTGGAGTCGTCCTGGGGACCCTTTCAGGATGTTTCGATGTTTCAGGGTAATTTGTCCGGGGCAGTAACTGCCTCCAAGCAAGGTAAGAAAATGACCCACGTGGTCCCCTCTCCTGGCCAGGCTTAAAAAGCACCATTCCAGCCACGTGTTTCCATGTGAGTTTAGGTTTAGGCCTGCGGTTTCCTTAAAGGGAGAGGATCAGAGGGGCGTGATCCTTTCCCCGAGTTCAGCCAGAAGCCAAGGGAAAGGGCAGTCAGGGGGCTGCTCCCTCCTGCCCTGTGTCCTGGGAGCAGCCCCTCTGTTCCATGGCTCTGTCTCTTCCCCGCATGCGGGGCATTAAGCTGGGGGTTCATCTCCGTCTGCAGAGGCAGGAGTAGGACAGGATGGCTCTTTCTCCTTGTCTTTTAGGACAAAGAAGTGGAAGGACTGGGGGTTGGATGGCTGTAGGATTTGAATTGTTAGGGTGGTTGGGCACAGAGAAGCTAGGTGACCGTCGTTACCAATAACACCATACATCTTTTCTTTCCCCTCCCCTAGGACTGGCCTCCCTGATCTCTCTCCTCATGGCCGTGACCCACCTCCAGCCCCTGGACCATCGGGTACAGAGACTAAGGTTGGGAATGGGTTGGTTGGGTGGAGTTTCCATGGTCCATTTAAATGCCTCCCTGCTCCCATTCGTCGCTCTCAAAATTAGCTTCAGTGACAAAGACTTCCATCTCTCTCCGGTCGGCAGCCCTGGGTTGGAGAGAGGGCACGGGAGTGGGGCTCCGCTGCTCACTGGTTGCGACTGTAGGAACTGTGTTGGCCGGCATCGGTGGTGGTGTTCTCACGGGAGGGGGCATCATTGCAGATTGGACGGGACCTCCACCTGGGACGTCCACTCACTTCCCTCAGCTGAATCAGGTGACCGTGCAGGGTGGAGGCAGGACCAAGGGGGCAGCGTGGTCTGTGTTTGAACAGATTCCTGGCTCACTGAGCACCCGAGGGGATGACGGCCTGGTGGGAGTGGGATAGTTTCCCCTTTGAACAGCCAATAAATACTTTTTATTACAAAAGTTATACTGATATCAACGTCGACGCCTTCCGTTCAAATGCAGTGCATCGCAGCCGACTACCCACCCGCAGGATGTGATGTCACTGTCTTCAAGGAGTTCACAGTCTAATTTGTCCAAGTACCTTGTGTTTTCACAGACCATTTACGTCTGGTAAAGCCTTATAGAGTTCTGGGGGAAATATCCTGGAGAATATATAGCAACATGGTTCTAACTTCTGAGAGTTCAGTCCGTGGCCGCAAGATACGTACCACAGAGGTTTCCTGCCGATTATGGAAAGTGTGTGGGTTGTAAATGAAAACTTAGTTGAGAGGGGGAAAAAATAATTTATTAAATGAAAATGGGCAAACAGCTTTCTCTGTTTAGATCTAGGAAAATTTCCGGGTTTTTGTCTTCCTAGTCTAGCGCCTATTACATTGAAGGAATCCCTTAGATACTGTATACACCCAGGAGTCTTTTGTGATTGCAAAACATATTCTCCTCTCTCTTCCCTTTTAAGATAAACTCCTAAAGGACTTTATCTTAAAAGGGAAAACCTCTTCCAACATCACTGATCTGCGAGTAGGCCCTAACTCTGCCAGCAGGTGGCAGTGTGAGCCAGTGGAAATAGGAAAGGTGCCTCTGTGTGTGTGTGTGTGTGTGTGTGTGTGTGTGTGTGTGTGTGTGTGGCGAGGGGGAGAGGGGATGCAGGGCAGAAGAGGGGGGCATTTAACATTGTCTGGGAGCCATTTTGTTGATTTCTTTTACCTTTTTCTTTCACTTTGCCCAGCAACCCTTCCTCCCCATACATCAAAGGGGAAAAATTTAAGTGCAAGGATAACTAACTCAGGCGGAAATTTCCTGGCACCTGTGATCTCACTGGCGTTTATTACAGACTTTGACATACGCCGGTTCCTTTGCCTTTTATTCCCCTCCCTCGTCCTGAGTGAATGATGAAGGAAATAAACATTTCTCTTCTCTTGGGCTAAGAACTTTCCCAACAGTTTCTGCCATGACCACCTTCCAGGAGTTTTCTGGTCACCTGGTCGAGTTTGATATATAATCCTTAGCTGTGGAAGTTGTTCCTGGAAACATTTTGGCCCCTAATCTCCTGAGACAAGTGTCCTGTCAGGGGCCTTTTCCTGTGCCCTGGTGGTGTTGGGGTAACTCTCAATCCTAGATGGAGACCCGCTGTTGTCAGGTCTCCCCGGGTAACCCCTTACAGGGGCTTGATAGGAAAGGGGGGGCTATGGGAGTCACACAGACCTACTCACGGTGTGAACCTGGGAAAGATGCTTAACTTCTCTGCGCCTGTTTCCTCGTCTGCAAAAGTGGGGATAACAGTATCCACCTCGCAGGGCTGTGGTGAGGATTAAAGGAGATGATGTGTGGAAGCACCTCGCCATACCTGGCAAGTAGGTGCGCAACCAATACTGGGTTTTCTCCCCTTTCCTCTTGCCCTTTTCCCCATTAGTATTGATATGAGAAAACATGTTCCTTTTATTCTAACAGTCATTAGGGGATGAATAGGAGTCTTGTCAAACTTTAAAAAAAAAAACTGGTATGAAGTTACGGGGGCAGAACCTTTATTAGGGTATATTAGGGACATAATTTTTAATCACAGGAACAAGAGTTCCCCTCTCTGAACCGTTTGGTGGAGAGTACGGGTGGGCTATTGGGAGAAAAAGGTAATGTAGGGCCCCTTCCCGGCAGTACCCAGGATTATGAGTGGAACAGGCTTTCAGTCTGGGACTTTCTTGGGGGATTTATTACTTCTCAAGTGCTCCTAGCTTCACTAGAACTTCCCTTTTTGTGTGGCACCGCAACAGGAAATTTTAGGAGATTCACAGGGCGCACTGGTTTGTGTCGGGGTGTGGGGCTGAGGTTGACGAGTCCTGGTAGAAGTCCTTCGGCAGAACGAGCTGCTGAGCGCGACGGCTGGCTTATCCTGGGAAACTCAGCGTGGAAAGGCCATGGAGGAACTTACGCTGACTTTTCAGGGGGAGTCTGATAGCGATTTCAAGTAGCCCTTTGCCAGCAACGCAGGAGCTGGACAAGTCTCAGACCCACACACATTTGCACAAGGTCCAGCGAGCAGGGGGTGGGGGGTGGAGGGCAGGGGCGGTAGGAAGGGGTCGCTCCAGCCCCGGGCACGGTCGATCTTGCAGATCTCGGCTGTGGAGTGTGGCCAGGCCCCGGCTCTGAAGTCTGCTCCCATCCCATGGATCTGGATGAGGAGGCCCGGGTGGAGAACCCACACTTGGCCAAGGACCCCGGGTTTGGCCAGTGAGAAACTCCCAGCTGCCACTCCCAGGCGGGTTGTGAGTTCTTAACAGGAATCCCCGCCCTCCTCCCCGCCAGCCCTCACCCAAAGCGGGGCTGTGCCCTGGGGAAGGCGCCAGGAACTGGAGCCAGCCCCTGTTTCTTTGCATTTATTTAAACACGACAGCCGAAAACACGCAAAGGGATGAAGGCGAGTTCCACGGGACCTGGACCGCCCAGCAGACCCACCGCCGGGATCCGGCCAGCCCCGCCCCTCACCTGCCCGTACTTCCGCTTCCGGTTGCATCGCCAGTTCCCCCAGCTGGAACAGCACTAGCCGTACTGGCCGCGGGGCGTTTCCGGAAGTGTCGTAAACACCGGATATCCGGTTTCTCCGAGCGCTCGGGGAGCTGACCGAGAGGCCTCCGCCCAGCAGCAGACGCCGTCTCGGCCGGCCGACCCGCAGTGTCCGCGGTGCGTGAGCGAGCCGGGCCCGGTCCCCTCTCCCGCCGCCGCCATGGGCTGCACGCTGAGCGCCGAGGACAAGGCGGCGGTGGAGCGGAGCAAGATGATCGACCGCAACCTGCGGGAGGACGGGGAGAAGGCGGCCAAAGAAGTGAAGCTGCTGCTGCTCGGTGAGGGCCTGTGGGCGGGGCCGGCGGGGCGCTCGGGGAGGCCCGGGCGCTCGGGGGCCGCGAGGGGCGTCGGGCCGGGCTGGCGGGGAGACCCGGAGCGGGGTGGGGGGGGGAGGGCGTGGCGGGCGGGGTTCGGGTGTGGGGGCCGCGGCTGAGTCTCCGCGGGGCGGGATGCGGGAGCGGGTTCTCCGGTGGAGGGAACCGGGGAGAGGGTGTGCCTCCGGGGGACTCGGGAAGAGCGCGGGGAGGGAGGACTGTCTGTGTTGGGTGTATAGGAAAGGCGCCCCAAGGGAGGGAGGGGGATCGGGGACGGTTTTCCGAGGGGAGTGGGAGTGAGTGGTGGGGAGCCCGGAGGACGGGGGAGAGGGGTGGGGCTTGTGTGATGGCCTGAGAGTTCGGAGCGAGGCGATAACTTGATGGCCGGGCCGAGCCGGACGGCTCGAGCGGTGAATGTACATAGAGGGGCCGGGCGTGTGCTGGAGAGGGGGGCATGTTAACAGGAGGGAAGGAGGGAGCACCCTGGCTTGCCCCGTCACACGAAGGTGTGTGTGGTTGAGCTAAAAAGTGACAAGTTCTCGGGGATAAAGGAAAAGTTGGGTTGCAGAGGCTGTGTCTGTTTTTCCACCTTTTTCTATCCTTTTTACCCTCTTAAGGCTTTACCACCCCTTCCCTTGGTTTCGTAAAGGGGACATGGTGTGAGCTGAGGGAAGTTAGGGACTGCCTTGCGTGAGGTTTGTGTCCAAAGACGTAGTGGACAGTCCGGTCCGCACTGGCAAGTTGGTAGGGATGATGTGCAGTGGGAATGGAGTTACTTTAGAGTACATTAAGGAGCCAGACATTTACTGTAAAGACTGGGACAGGCTTCTGGTGAGCAGGTTCGGTTCTCTTCTCTTCTCTTCTCTTCTCTTCTCTTCTCTTCTCTTCTCTTCTCTTCTCTTCCCTGGTTCCTTCAAACTAAGAGCATTGACCTCAGAAATTGCTGTTTATTTTACCCCACATTCGTTTTCAGTGGCTTTTAGATACAATCAGATGCATTTTACTCAGCGGGATTAGTTTTAAAAGTGAGAAAAAGGCTCCTAGAGGTTCAGTAAACCGGATAAACAAATCAAGCCAGTTGTTTCATTGGGAGTATTTTCCAGGGATCTGTCGGAGAAGTGGCAGTCATGGTTTCTGTAAGGAATAGGACTTTAGTTTTTAAAACAATTGATTTTTGAGAAAAAGAAGTTGCTTTGAGAGAGGTGCTCCACCATCACCTACTTTGTACCCCAGGATGTGATGTGCTGGGTGCCTGTTACTCCCCCTGTTAAGCTGTTTGGTGGTTTGTAGATGGCAGAAGCCCTGGTGACAGCTTTCTGGACGAAGGGGGCGAGTTACAAGTTAGAGCTTGAGATTCCAGATGGAACCCCTGATCTTTCAGAAAGCGTGGGTTCACACTGTAGTCCTCCTCAGCCTCTCTCTGTGAAGAAGCACCATTGTGAATGAGCATGGCCCCTGGCCCCTGTTCTTTAAATACTATTAATATTGGGCAGACATTGCTCTGTGGGGCTGATTTTCAGGTGTTTGAAAGAAATCACAACACGCAGGGCATTAGCATAATCTGTATTGATCAGCTGGTTGTAAAAGTAAAGGTGTCTCTCATCTTCTGTGAGTGTTTTGGTTTAGATTGCCCATCAGAGAGCCCTCAGGGCATTGGCCTGTTTGTAATACAGCTGCAAACTGGGAGGCTTTCTTCCAAGTGGCAGGATTTGGCAGGCGGAACTTGTCTACATGTCTACAGAAATCTTTATTCCGGACTTTTCAATAGTGCATTTAATTAAAAACAAATGAAACATAGGATGACTTAGGAAACCTCAAAGGCTGTAAGTAAAAATCGAAGTGCTAAAGCATTTGCTTTTAATTTTTATCAATTGCATTGTTTTAAGATTTTTTTCTAATATTTTTGAGCAAGTTGAATCAACCACTTCAAGTAGGTTATGGATACAGATGCTCTTACTGGCACGATATCATAACGCACATATGAAATGCAAGTTTTCTCCCTTGCTATTTCTACCGTATACAAAGAATGTTCTTTGGCTGTGGAATACCCCCTGGGTGTGCATGGAAGTCGATTTTTCTTCATCACTGTGACGCTGTTAGGCGTAGTCCAAGTTGCGCTCTATTTACTTGCCCTTGTCGCTCTGGCACATAATAGGTGTTCATTAAATATTACTGTGTTTTCTTCCTGGCAGGGATGTAGTTCAGCACAGTGATTAACAACATGGGCTCTGCAGTCACACTGTTTCATATTCTAACTCTCATTCACCTTGGGAAAGTTATTTACACAATTCTCTCTCAGCTTCCTCATCTTTTAAAATGGAGAAAATAGAGGTATTTCATAGTATTGCTGTGAGGGTTAAATATGGTAATGTTGTGAAGTAGAACACAGCTTGGTACA